ACATGCCATCTTCCTTGCTTCAGTTCTGACAAAATAATGCCATTCTTCAAATAAAAGCTTATGACAATCTCCTTGCATATGTCTGCCTGGTGTTCTAGACATTTCCCCTATTCAACTTGTTTCCTGAATTAAGTTCATATTGTTAATATTTACATAGTTCATGACTACATCTCCAGATCCTTGGGTGGTGGTGGGCACACACACAAAAAGGATTAGCTAGTTTCATTAATTTTACTTACCAGTCAGTAACCTGAACATTATTTTCATGCATCATTGACTGTATTTTGAAGTTCTCGAAAACAGAAAACAAAATTTCTATTGTTAGTGAAATTCTACCACCAAAGCACTGAATGGTGAATTAAAAAGAAATATGTTACTGTTCGTCCTCTCTGCTAAGAGCTAAAACGTGTGAGTTTGATGCTTTGGGGGTTATCAGGTGGATGTACAGTCTCGAGAGACTGAAATATGCCTGTGGTCATCAGTGTGCATCTTCTCTAGAGCTATAGGCATCACACATAAGAATGGAACAGAAACTACAAATGTATGCATACTGATAGGTGGTCTTTATTCTGCCTCTGAGAAGACAGATGGAGCAAATGCAGAGTGGAGGGAAAGTTTGCACTGACTGGGTGAGAGTGTGAGCTTTTGGTGCCAGCTTTGGGGCAGATGCAGGAGCAAGCAATGCACAAGAAGATGCTTGGGAGGGGAGGATTCTACAGAGTTGCTGATTGCAGACTCATGTCAACTGAGGAGCGCAAGTAATACATCTATCTATCTATCTATCTATCTATCTATCTATCTATCTATCTATCTATCTATCTATCATCTATCTATTTTTGAGATGGGGCCTCACTGTGTAAGCCCTGCATTTTGCTATGTAAGCCCTGCATTTTGCTATGTAAGCCAGACTAGACTGAAAGTTACAGAGATCGGCCTGCCTGTGCCACACTATCACACCCAGCTTTTATGTAGGCACCAGATCTCCAAACTCAAGTCCTCATGCTACAAGGTGAACACTCTACTGACTCAGATATCCCCCCAGCTCCCACAATATGCTTTTAACAAGTATTTAGTTGCTTTCAAATTGGACTTCTTTAAAAGCAAATCTATGCTGAAATGGGAACAAATAGAAAAGAGTTACTTCGGTAAGAAAGAAAAGTATATGGTATTTTCACCTATCTGTCTCATTCGATCTTCACTGAAATCTCACAAGATATTTGCATTATGATAATAATTTTATACATAAGAAATCAAGACTCTGAGGATGAGCCTCAACAAATTCATAGCTAGAACACAAGAACGCTGGGATATCAGACAGAAACCTTAATTCTTCATACCATACAGTCTCCACTGTCCTTTTAAGATATCACTAGGAGAAAAGTATGTAGCTGAAGTTTTCTCCAGTCCTGCCCAGCCCCCACAGACCCTGCAACCGCTTATAAAAGAATCACTCAGAAGCTTATATTAATTAAACTTCTTGGCCATTAGCTCAGGTCTACCACTGACTAGCTCTTACACTTAAACTCTTACACTTAAACTCTTACACTTAAACTTTTGAAAAAAAAAGAAAAGGGGAAGTGCTGTGGATATCTGTATGCTGTGAATGTGTTGCTCTGATTGGTTAATAAATAAAATGCTGATTGGCCAGTAGCCAGGTAGGAAGTATAGGCAGGACAAAGAGAGAGGAGAATTCTGGGAACAGGAGGGCTGAATCAGGAGACGCTGCCAGCTGCAGCCATGAGAAGCAAGGTGTAAAGTACCAGTAAGCCATGAGCCACGTGGCAACTTAAAGATTAATAGAAATGGGTTAATTTAAGATATAAGAACTAGATAGCAAGAAGCCTGAGCCATTAGGCCAAACAGTTTAAATAACATAAGCATTTGTGTGTTTATTTGGATCTAAGTGGTTGCAGGCTGGGAAGGACTGGAGATAACTCCAGCAACAAAAGTATATGGATTATTTCATAAGTAAACTTTAAAAAGCGAAACATAGAAAATGAAAAGACTCATTAATAAAGTATGCTTGTTTGAAACAGCCTTGTAGATCAGGAATCATTTTGGAAGAGGGAACAGAAAGATTGTCAGAGCGAGAGAACAGAGAGTTTGCTGTGAGACAGTATATCCTAGAAATGTCAGAAGTTACACCCACAAATTCTCAACAATGCAACTGCTTAAACAACAGCCACAAACACGCTTATGTGGAGGTGGACAGGGTAGAGCCCAGGAGGCCTCAACCCTACCCAAAGAACTGCAGGCAACCAAAGAACACTGGTAGATGAAGAATCAAGTCTTTCTGGAGAAGAGCACACCAATTGCTTATGCAGTTCCAAATGGTCAACCCTGAAAACATATATACAAGGAGCATAAGACTAATCTACCAATAATTAATGAAAAAAGAGGTCATGGATTTGAAAAAGAGCAAGGAGGAGTGTATGGAGAGGTTTGGAGGAAGGAAAGGGAAGGGGAAAGTGATAAAATTATATTACTTTTAAAAAAGGTATTATTCTTTTTAAGGCTTCTAGTGGCTGGAGAGATGGCTTATCAGTTAACCCAAGTTAACCCAAGTACAGTTCCCAGAATCTACATGGTAGCTTATAACCACCTGTAATTTCTGTTCCATGCTATCCCTCCTTCCCTTCTGCCCTCCACGGGCACCAGGAATGCATGCAGTGCACTTACACACATGCACAATACTCACACATATAAAATAAAAATAAAACATTTAAAAACCTTATAAATTGTAAGGCACAAATCTTGTCTTCCACATATTTTATTTTTCATTTTTCTTTATTAAGAAATTTCCTACTCACTCTACCTACCACCCACAGACCTCACCTCCTCCCTCCTCCC